TCCGCGGAATTCGCGATGGAATTCTTTTCATCGTTGCACCGCGGTTTGCATCGTCCAATAATTAAAGTGTTTGATGCCGGGATCGTGTTTAAGAGGATTCGACGCCGGGAATGCGTTCGGAATGTTTTAACATCCGCTTTCGAGCCGAGCGCCACGAAGCGTTGTTCCGCTGTCGGCGTTCTTCGCTTCTCTTCACCCTCCTTTGCGCCACCCCCTTCCTCCAACCCTTTGTTCCATCGCTTCGTTCTATATATATCTTTCATCGATTCGCTCCCTCTCGTCTCCTCGTATATTTACGAATACTCGCTCGAATAATTTTTACGATTTTTCAATAAGAAATTGCGATTAAAAGCTGTTACACGGCGAGAAAAGCGGGCCGGCCGGCCGGCCTCCAAGTATTCGCAGAATCTTGCTTTGTGAAATTGCGACTGGGAATGTTTCGGATGTTTGATCGTGCGCTTACTTCATAGAATTTCGTGCTCACAATGCCGGACCGAAATTGTTCTCGAGTTTCAGCCACCGTGTTATAATCGTTGTAGAAAAAAACATCGATCAATGAGTTAAAGATCTCGACAAAGTTTTAAAACGTTTCTGTATGTATACCTTCAACGAACCTCGTTTACCTGACGATTTCATTTTTCCGTAATAATTAATCGTCGGTGCGGCGATTGGCGAAATTTCAATTTAAAATAGCGTTGAATCGAAGCGCTAGTCTTAAAGTCTATTTAAATATTTCTTTCTGGTTGGAGATGGAGAAGAAGGGTGTTGGAAAAGCGAAAAGTTGGAAAATTGAAGCACGCGTGATTTTTATAACACGTTCGCGTTATTTATTAATCGTTCCTTCAAATAATAACACCGTCAGAGACCGATTGTTAAAAAGAAATTCATTCTAAGCGGATGGAACGTTGAAAAACCGCTCTCTGAATTCTTCTTCATACCCCCGCCAATCCTCTCTCCTCCCCCATCCGGACTAAATGGTCCGTGGTTAGTTTCAACCGTGGCCGTTATTTAATTATACGCAATTAGTCCGTTTACTCGCGCGGGCGGGTTATAGACGCCCTATTCAGTCGAAATAAAATTGAGTTTTATAAAACGCTCGAGGTGTTTCCCTTTGAGCTCGATCCTCCTTTCGCTTTGCCGCTTGCCTCTCGTTCGGTGAATATTGAAAAACCATTACTCCTGCGTTGTAAATCCGACGTGGTATAAAAGGTTTGACGCGTTAATACGATGTGTCGCTATATATTTTCCTTATAGATAGATAGATATCGCATCTCGCGTCGCGATGAAACGGCAAGAGACGAGGCACGGGGTGAGGGAGAGGGAGGGGGTCTCGTTAAAAAGGAACGTTGCACTTTGGAACTTGCTCGTTGTGACGGACAAAGATGAGCTTTATAATAATGGAATATCGTACGTTGTCGTCAATCGTACGCATTAAATTTGATGAGAAAATTATATGGAAACGACTGGTGAAAATAAACGTCCATTAAACTTGTTTAAATATTCAAATTCGATTATGACTTTGAATCGATGTTTCGTTAAAACTTTATCGGTTAATGGAAACCACGATAAATTGGTGAAGCGAGGTATAATATCGCGATCGAGTTGTACGAGTTGCGTTCTTTTTTTTTTTCTTTTTTTTCTTCAAGATGTTCGAACTTATCTACGAAGAGATCTAGTAAATTTCGACATTCGTATTTGTTGCGCCACTCGAAAATGATCGAAGGGAAGAGAAATCGTTTGCAAATTAAACGGAATAGAATCGTGTTCAGAGTTTTGAAGAGGCTCACCTCGACGTCACGTCGACGTTTTGTAAATCAAAGAACCGGTGGATCCCGGATGGATCGGACTAGTCGCTCTCTCAGACATTCTTCTACGATCGAAAATAGTAAATTTCCTCTCGAGGATGAACGCTCGAGAGTTCCTCTCGATTTCTAATAATTAATTAGATCGATTTTCTTCGCGTAATTTTAAATTACTCGAGTTTCTTCGAGAATAATTAGAAATTTCGCTGGTTAATGACAAGAAGGTAAATGAAAATTGCGTATTAAACGTGAGAGAGAGAGAGAGAGAGAGNNNAGTTTGAACGGCTTCGTGGCATTCGAACGTCCATTAACGTTGGANNNCAAAAGTTTAACAAAGGCCAAAGTTAAATCTTCTAAGTTTTACATACTTGAGAACGCGTCATTTCTCGTTCGAGAAAATTAATTTTTAAACTTGTAATCGCGCTCTGATGGCGATTCAAGTAAGTCAAAGCTCTGACGTTTCCGAATTAATATCCGAATTAATATCCGAATTAATATCCGAGGAGAGACTTTAAAAGTTTCCATATCCTTGTATATCAAAGCGTTGCTCTTGCGTTAAAGAAACGTTCGATGTCACGTTTTCGTGGAACAGCGTTCCACGCATTTTTATCCCCTGTAACGCTTTCATCACGCTTGATAAAGTCGATCCGATATCTTGTTAAATTTTAATTACCACGTTGAATCATTTCGCGTTGAGAGAGAATGGAGAAGCGATTGGAGAAGGCAGCTATGTTTGTGCTATACATATATATATATAAAGACACGAGAGTAGAGCGGAATATACGCGACGATAATAGGAGCGTAGCTGTTATAGCTCGACAAAGGAGCTTCGTTCTAGAATTTCGTCCGCAAAAGAATCGAGAATCAGAGTTTCGAGATTGTTATCTCTAATTATTTATACAGAGCGTGAATATCTGTTACAATTATTGAAAGCGAATTGTGAAAAGTGAATGGGACGATTTTATCGTCCATCCTCCAAAGGGGTAAAGTTTCATCGGGATTGGAAGGGATTTCACGGCGAGAACGAATGGAAGGTGTACGTACGAATCGATGGATCGTGAATTTAGGGGGATACGTATGAAAGCACGTCGAAAGGAACGGAAAAACAAAGAGCCGTAAAGTGGCTTTCAGCCCGAAGTGTACCGAGAAATATACAATTTTACGACTTTTCGTCCGCGATAGCCTCGAATAAATTACACCGTTTAGAGATCCCTTCTCGCGGAGTCGAGAACGCGCGATACGGGAGACACGGAGTCTGCGAGATCGCACAGTGGATTCCACGAATAGAAAGTTTGAAATAAAATAAGAAGGAATTAAGAATTAATTGTATTACGATAACGAGAAAAAACATCGATCTCATTAACCTACGTTTGAAATTACTCCTAGTTTCGATTACCGATGTCCAATAAAAGGTTATTAGTTCGAACGCACTAATATTCAAACGATACATTCGAGCGTGAATATCGTTTTCAATATATTTACAGAGAAATTGAACGAATAACGCACTCGTTTCTCATAAATTAACGGCACTCGAATATAATAACATACGAATTTGATATTTCTCGATTACAAAGTCAAACGTCGTGAAGTCTATATATACTGGTCAAACGATTCCGTAATTTTAGA